CTTAAGCATGGAACTCTGGGAGTTGAAGTCCACCCATTTTAAGCATGAAATTCTGGGAGATGAAGTCCACTCATAAGTGTGGAACTCTGGGAGATGAAGTCCACATGTCTCAAAGTGCCCAACATTGAGAAGCCCTGTCTTAGACCCTCCATCCTTCCCTCTTCCGTGCCTTGGTAGCATGTTGGCCTACAGACCCATTACTCCCAGTGCCTCCCTCCCTGGCCCTAACCGTGTGGGATACGGATGATGGGAACAGGAAGGCCTAACGCCCAGGCCTGTGTCCGTCCTTCCCGAGTGGAATCTGCACATCGGGTGAAAGCAGGCCAGGCCGCATCCTGCCCATCTCCCTCCCACCCCACCGCCTACCCACCCCCAATTAACGCCTGAGGAGAGAAAACAAAACAGGCGCCAAAGACAAGCTTCGGCCCCGGCCGAAAAGCACAGCTGCCAAGAGAAAGCTCGTTGCAAGCCACGCATCCTCGGCGGAGCCAACGCGCCCCAGAAGGAAAACGAAAACCAGGGATCCCTCCTTGCCAAACCCACCCCCACAAGGAGCATCTCCAGGAGTCAACTGAAATGGCTTCCCCACATGCACCACACACACACACACACACACACACAGACACACACAGACAGACACACACACGCCGTGGCCCGTTTTTGCTCCCGGGAGGCTGCAGGGAGGCCTACTAGGCCCAAAATGGGACGTGGGCAGGGGTTGCGCATGTATGCGCGGGGGAGCATGGTATGTGTGTGTCGCGTGCGCATGTGCAGGGGCGGGGCAAGGAGTAGCCATGGGGACATCGCATTAGGGGTGCAGACACGCATGCACGCTGTCGCCTGCACGCGCACGCGCTTTCGGCACAGGATGACAGAAAGCTTTAGCCGGGGGTGGGATTCAAATGTCTTAACAACCGGTTCTGTGGGCGTGGCTTAGTTGGCGGACGTGGCCTGGTGGTCATGTTATTGGTTGGGTGTGGCCAACTCAATATCACTCACATTGAGGCACACATCTCGCCTGGCCTCTCATGACTGTGGGGATGCTGCAACAGTCGTAAGTGTGAAAAATGGTCATAAATAACTTTTTTCAGTGCCCTTGTAACTTTGAATGGTCACTCCACACAAGCAAAGTACCAGCAAAGGGAGGTGGGGGAACTCCGGAGAAGTTCCTGAGACAAGAAGTCTCGTCCTGCCAAGAATGTAACAAGGGTTAGCGGAGAGGCAGTTTCTGTAAGCAACACCAGAATGTTTCCTTCCTGCCTTCCTTACAGGATTAGCCCTGTAATTTCTTCTAACATCCAGTTCTCTGAACTGCTTAGAATGTTAACAACCGGTTCTAGCGAATAGGTGCGAACTGGTAGAATCCCACCCCTGGGTTTAGCCATCACTGAACCAGGAGGCGTTTCAATTCAGTTATTCTGTTGGTCTCTCCCCCCACCCGCCAAGGTTGTGAGCCCGCCTAGATTGTCTGCACTATGTGGACTGATCTAAGGTCTCTTGTTTGGGAGGAAGTAGGCGAGTGAATCATGGCAGGAACACTGTCGTTAAGTGAATCCTGGGTTTCTCACTGACTTTCAGAAGGTCGCCAAAGGAGAATCCCATAACCCCGGGACCGCAACCATCATAAGTGGGATCCACTTGAGGTAGATGTCTAGCCTCCCACAAGATCAGGCAGGGATTACAGATCCCATAACAGCAGAGCAGAAATCAAGGGGAGGCTGTGAGGACCTTCCAAACTTCCTGGGAGACGCAGAGCTACTAACCTGTTGTAGTCTAGGGCCACCAGCAGGAGGTTCTCCCTCAGGTTCCTCAGGTCTTCCTTCCGTTCGTACACCTCCACCACGTAATGCGGGATTTCGAAGAGCACTCTCTCCCAGTAGTGGATTTCCACAAATAACTTTAGCAGGTGCCTGGAGGAGGAGAAAGAGAAGAAGAAGGAGGGAGGAGGAGGAGAAGGAGAAGGGAGAAGGAAGAAAGGGAAGCAGAAGGAGACAGAAGGAGGAGGAGGAAGAGGAGAAGGAAGAAAGAGAGGGAGGAGGAGGAAGAGTAGAAGAAACAAGGAGAAGGAGAGGGAGAAGGAGGAAGAGGAGAAAGAGAAGGAAGGAGGAGAAAGAGAAGGAAGGAGGAGAGCGAGAAAGAGGAGAAGGAAGGAAAAGGAGAAGGAAGAATGAGAGGGAGGAGGAGGAGGTGGAGGAGGAGGAGGAGGAAGAAAGAGAGGGGGAAGGAGGAAGTAGAAGAAAGAAGGAGAAGGAGAAGGAGAGGGAGAAGGAGGAAGAGGAGAAGGAGAAGGGAGAAGGGAGAAAGGGAAGCGGAAGGAGACAGGAGGAGGAAGAAGAGGAGGAGGAAGAAAGAGAGGGAGGAGGAGGAGGTGGAGAAGGAAGAAAGAGAGAGGGAAGGAGGAAGAGTAGAAGAAAGAAGGAGGAAGAAGAGAAGGAAGAAGGAGAAGGAAGAAGGAGAAAGAGAAGGAGGAAGGAGGAGAGCGAGAAAGAGGAGAAGGAAGGAAAAGGAGAAGGAAGAAAGAGAAGAAGGAGAAGGAAGAAGGGGGCATGGAAGGACCCATGAGACCAGGGTGGAACACCAGGGCAACAAGGTCTTCTCCGGTTCTTTCCTTTTTCACTCACTTGTCAAAGTTGATGTCCAACATGCCCGGCATCTCGGCACTCGGGATGAGGAGAGGGGTGTCCAGACGCTTCAAGCTGTCCTTGTCCAAGCCTTGGGTCCACTCGTGGAAGGTCTTCCTCTCGATCTCATCCATGGCCTGCACCAGAAGCTGATAGGTCTGGAAGCTTTCTTCTCCGGTCCCAATGTGAGGGATGAAGTGGGCTTTGGTGAGACACTGGCCAGAGAGGGAGAGGAAGGGACTGTAGGAGAATACTCGGCAGAGCTTGGAGGGCGGGGTTGAAGGCGTCATCAGTGCAGCATCCTCGTGTTGCCACAAGAGATCCAAGTTCAGCCTCCCTCGAATTCCGTTCAGACCCTTATCAATTTGGTGCTGACTATTAATTGATTAGATTCTCGGGTACAGAGAGTTCTCGGCTTACAACCATTCATTCAATGACCATTTGAAGTTACGACAGCACTGACTTATGACCGTTTTTCACACTGACCGTTGCAACTGGTCCCCGTGGTCACATGATCAAGCTTCGAAGGCTTGCCCACTGCTTCGTTTCATGACGGTCGTGATCCAGCCTTTTGACAAGCAAAGTCAAGGGGGAAGCCCAATTCGCTTACCGACCACGTGACTAACTTAACAACGGCAGTGATTCGCTTAACAATGGCGGCAAGAAAGCTGGTAAAAATGGGGCAAAACTCACTTAATGTCTTGCTTAGCAATGGAAATTTTGAGTTGAATTGTGGCCGTGAGTTGAGGACCACCTGTAACAATTTCTGGTCAAGTGGGGAAAGGTTTTGCGTGCAGAATCGTGTATCAGGAGAGGCCAGAAGGCAATAGAAGGCCATAAATTACAGGTAGTCCTCAATTTATGACAATTGAACGCAAATTTTCTGCTAGTCAGACTGCAGGTTAAGTGAACCTTGTCCCATTTTATGACCTTTCTGGCTACAGTTGTTAAGTAAACCGCTGCACTAACACAGTCGCTAAGTGAACCTGAATTTCTCCTTGGCTTTGCTTGGGATCCTGGGACACAGGGACCGTCATAAATCTGAGTCCCTTGCCCAAAGCCGGAATTTTGATCATGGAGCTTGCAAGAGTCCTAAGTGTGAAAGATGGCCATGAGTCCCTTTTCTCAGTGCCATCGTAACTTCAAGCGGTCACTAAATGAAGCGTTGCAAGCTGTAATTCCTTGGGAGCTACCACGCACCTGGCAAAGGCGGCCATGGCTGCGTGTGTGACATCCTAGCCTGGCACCTGCTCAGGGATGGCAAAAGCTGGCAGGAGCCCATCCCCTTCCTGGCTGCCAACCCGAGCTCCCATGTTCCACTTCCCCGAGGGTTTCGCTCGCCTTGCCCTCCGCTCAGTCAACAGGAAACTGAGGAATCCATTCCCCCCCCAGTGCCCATGAAAACGCGCTCAGGTGGGCGTAATGAACAAAACAACACGTGCCACCTAGTGCCAACGGTCGGTGCCAAGAGAAAAAATAAAGACATGTTTCTCGGAAAAACCACCTAAGCATCGGGTGAGTCAGCTGTGCCACGTGTGCAAGTTCGCCCAGCGTGGGGTCACTTCGTCAGAGCTGGCGAGGAGCATCGAACTGGGGGGGGGCGTGTGGAGCTACACCCCATGCCCTCCCAAGAACGGGAGGGGACAGGCATCAGCCGACGAACGCATGCCCCTCCCCCCCACTCTTCAAAACCTGCTCCAGTAGGTGCCGCATTGGAGAAGCCATCTTGCTTTCCATCCACGGTGGGGCAAGCCGATCGCCTCGGATGCTTAGGAATCACAACGCCCATAAGGCACAGCCCATAAAACCAGATGGGGAGTGGTGTGTGGGGGTTGAATATGCAGGGTGGGGGGTGTTTCGGGTTGGGGGGATAAGAGAGAGGAGAAGAAAAGAGCACCGCGGGTGAAATCCACACGTCTTAAGCGTGGAATTCTGGGAATTGAAGTCCATCCATCTTGAGCGTGGAATTCTGGGACTCGAAGTCCACTCATGTTAAGCGTGGAATTCTGGGAGTTGAAGTCCACCTATCTTAAGAGTCATTAAGATTTGAGAAACCCCGCTGTAGAAGGTATGGGCTCCTTCTCACCTACTCCAGAGGTTAAGACGAGAAAGGAATGAGGTGAGATATCAACAGATGAGACTTTAGGAAGGACTTGTTGACAGGGACAGCTGTCAATCCAATCAGTGGAACTGATTGACAGAGAGGAATCTCTTCCCCTTCCCTGGGTTTTTTTCAAACGGAGGCCGAACGGTCATCGAGTGCAGTGCACGAGAGGGTGCGAATTCTGCAGTGTAAAGGGGGGGGTTGGGCTGGATGACCTCTTGCGACTCTCCCAGCTCTTGTGATGCCTGTCTCGGCAAATGATGAAATCGTGTTGTGCCGTCGGTTTCATGACCTGGTTTAGTTCGTAAGGTGGACGTGAGCAGCAAGGGACATCAACGGGACTCCGAGGCCAAGGCGGGAGGCAAAGGGTGGCACGAGAGCCGGGTGAGGAAGCCGCGGTGGACCAACACAGAAAGCCAACCCGGAGGCCTGGCAGTTCTGTGCTGAGATGGGCTGACCGGCGGGAGGCTGGCCCACCCAATCCGTACCCCAGTTAAGGAACCACCGACTCAGACAAACAATCAAACAACGAATCAAGGGACCATCGAAGACACTCCCACCAACCCTGACGAAGCAAGTATATAAACAGAGCAAACCCCCTTCCCTTCTAGCACTGATGTTGTTCCCTAGTCGGGTGATGAAACGTCTGCAAGAAAACCACCCAGCTCAGAGAGCAACAAGGACTCCACAGCCCTCCTCCTCCTCCTCTTTTTTCTCTTCATCTTCCCCCTGTTCCTCC